GTCCCTCTCCAAAAGTTCTTTGTCCTTCTTGAACTGTGGAGCCCAGAGCTGCACACAGTGCTCCAGGTGGGGCCTCACCAGGGCCGAGCAGAGGGGGAGGATGACTTCCCTCAACCTGTTGGCCACCTACCTCTTCATGCAGCCCAGGATGCCACTGGCCTTGGCTGCAAGAGCACACTGCTGGCTCATGGCCATCCTGCTGTCAACTAGGGCTCCCAGGTCCCTTTCCCCAGAACTGCTCTCCAACAGATGAGCCCCCAGCCTGTTCTGATCCATGGGGTTGTTCCTCCCCACATGCAGGACTTTACACTTGCCTTTTTTTGAATGTCATGACATTTCTCCCTGCCCAGCTCTCCAGCCTGTCCAGGTCCCCCTGGATAGCTGCACAGCCCTCTGGTGTGTCAGCCACTCCTCCCAGTGTGGTCCCATCAGCAGACTTGCTAAGGGTCCACTCCAGCTCCTTGTCCAGGTCGTTGGTGAATATATTGAACAGTGCTGGGCCCAGCACTGACCTTGGAGGACACCACGAGCCACAAGCCTCCAAATAAATGTTGTAGTGGTTTTTTGTGCTTTTTTTTTTTTAATCTAGAGATTCATAATGCATTTTTAACCATGTTAAAAAAAAGATGGAATAAAAAAACCCCAAATCCATACCAAGCCTGGTTTTTATAAAGATTATTACAGGAGCTACAGCTGCTGGCTGCTGCAAATTAAATATGGCATCCTGTGTAGTTTTAGTAGTGTTGGTGTCTGGATGTTCCCTATAGTAAAGATGATAATGAAGACTTAATTGAAGTGGTTTTATCTTTATCCAGTACAAGTTATCCTATTCATCTTCTGTCATGTTTCATGTATTAATGCAGAGAACTGTGGTTTTTCAGCTTGTAAACAACGGACCATTACCAGTTGGCTGGAGAATAAAGGACCCAAGACAACTGAGTCCAGAAGGTAAAATGTACAGCATACCTGTCCAAAAATTGTGTTGAGTGAGCCTGTGTTAGCCTACTATGTCCTTAGTTAACAGCTCTTCTATTTTTGTTTAATATATGGCAATAGTAGTTGCAGATTTTGGCTGGTGGTTCTGCATTCGACTCATGGTTCTGTTGTTAATTTACACACAAAAGTCTGTTTTGATTGCCACTATAATCATCATTGACCAATGATTATAGTGTAAGTATGTGCAGCTTGATTGATATTGGACTAGAATTTACAGATGCTCAAATGTGCATTCAAGTTACCTTGTTTAAGATGCTATGAAAGTCTTGACAGATGCTCAAATGTGCATTCAAGTTATTTTAAGATGCTATGAAAGTCTTTTTGCTGAATGGCACCAGGTAGAGTTTGATATTTAATGCTAAGTTGGTCTGTCAGGAGCAATGTTTGCAAGGCAAACAAGACTCTGAAGAGTTTAACTGTCTGCTGCAGAGGAATATTAGGTGTTTCTTTTTTTATAATTGCAACTGTAAATCTACTTGTTTATTTTTGATGTTTGTTAATAAATAGAAATTGAAATCCATAGCAGTGCTGAAGTAGCTGGGAAGACTTGTGATGATTGGTACAGAAGTACAAAGGACTCAATTACAGGCTGACAGGTTGCAGTAAAGCAAAGATTCTAAGAGGATGCTGAAGGAGGGAATGAGTTTTTTTTTTTAAGATACCCTTCAGAGTATTGTTCTCATGCTCTTCTCCAGCCTTGCTGACAAAGTGCAGATTGCCAGTTTTAACCACAGGTTAGTCCTGTAAACACTTCATGTGCCTTTCCATTGTGGTTAACAGCACAGTTCTCATTTATCTGAGTTTGAACACACTCTTTGTGATAGATTTGGTTTCTTGTCTTAAGCTGACAACAGATGTAGTTGATTGCTTTAAACAGTCATTTATTGTGATGAGAAGAGTAGCATAACTTTAATTTTTGTTCATCAGAATTTTCAGTGCAGGAACAAATAAACACATGGGGAGTTAAATTATCATTACATAAACCCCTCTAAATTCCTTTTGTTTTCAAATAATCTTCCTATGGGTGCAGTTCCAAGCTATCATCTCTTGCTTCAAGCCTCCTCTTTATTTTTTGTTTTTGGCTTGTAGTGGTAAAGGTGTAAATGTTCTCTCTTTATCCAGAGTGCCCTTTTAGAAGAGGATATGCTGCCATTCATAGAGTCTTCAGGAATTTATTAAGATATTCAGTTCTGAACTGATTGTGTGATGATTTGATATTTTCCTATTTAGTGTAGATGGTAAACTGAGCAATGCCCAGGCATGCAGAGTTTAGCATGCTTAGTTTGTCATGGCTATATACAATGATATAACATGAAAGGAGGAGGTTTTGTTCAGGGTGATACATTCACCAGACCAGTCCTTTTTTTTTTGAGCATGTAAGTGTGAAATTGCTTTCCAGTGTCTTCTGGAAAAGTTTCATCTTACACAAAACTCAATTCATTCCCTGTGTTAGGACACCACTTTTTTTTTCCTCTTCTTTGTGTAAGACAGTGCAGGACAAATCAGGTTATTTTTCTCTTTAAATATAGTAATTAACTTAACATGTCTTTTAATTGTTATTATCAGTTCTAAACATACTTTATGCTTTTGTATTGTGGTTGGGTTGGTGTTTTTTTTATTACTTTTTGAAAAGTCATTGACTGCTTATAAAAGCAAAGTAGCAATAGGATGTTTTTGAGACTTGGGACTACTGTGTCTTGCTCTGCTTAAAGATGAATTTGTAGCTTTGAGGGAATGGCTACAAAACCACTGATTTCCTCACTCACTGTATTTAACTGATTAAAATGAAAGTGAAGTAGGACTTTATCATGTCTTCTAACATTTTTTTCATCTGGAAAAGCTAATTAAACAATAGCTTAATACTGTTTAGTTTTGAAAATAAGGATGATGAATCACTGAAAAAGATTTCTAAGGTAAGCAATTGATTCATTATCATTTGGAGCCTATAAATGGAAGTAGGTTGTTCCTGAGCTACATTCCCCAGTGCAGTAAAACTTGTTGATCCTGGTAGTGCTCACTTCTGGAGTATAATTGGTAAAACTCTGTAGCTTCTATTGTATGTTTATAGTAAATTTTTTTTTAAAGCAAATAAGTATATAGAGAAATTCCATATGAAGGTAAGACATTAATTTCCCTTATTTCTCTTTCACAGCCTACACAGCAAAATTAATAACAATCCTGAAGCAAATCCCAAGATGACTTCGGTTAAAAAAGAGAACTTTGGTGAGCATGATGTGAAAAAGCTAGAGAATATTTATCAGCAAAGTTACTCAAAAATACCTGTGGAAGCTGGTGCAAAGCATGTAGATATGCCTCAGACAGGCAGCATGTGGAACTGGGAGGCTGAGGGTGAAGATCCTGTCTTGGACACAGAACCTGTGAAGGGGGTGCAGTCTGGAGACCTCTTTAAAAATGCCAACACGGATCAGATGTACAAAACTGGCAAGCAGGCTCAGAGGGGCTGTGAAGAGAGCAGTGACAATTGGACTCAGAAGAAATTATCATCAGACTGGTCTTTGAAAACGGGAAACACAAAACTTCCTTCAAAAGACACTGAGACAGGTGGACAAGTGTCTTCATGCAGCTCAGTGAAGCTGAAGAGCTGTGGTCCCGTCTGTTCAACGCCCGAGCAGACAGCAGGGGATGTCGTGCCGGAAAGTCCGCTCTCAGATGCTGGCTGTGATGCTTGTGTGTCTGACCTTGGAGGTCCTGGGAAGCTGGGCCAGTGTCAGAGCAGTTCAGGGGATTCACCTGCTTTTGAGAAAGAAAGTGAACCAGAGTCACCAATGGATGTAGATAATTCTAAAAACAGCTGCCATGGGTCAGAGGCCGATGAGGAAACGAGTCCCTTTCCTGATGAGCGAGAGGAGAGCAATATGCCAAAATCCATAAACAAGTCATTTAGAATTCAATATGGGGATGCTGAAATGGAGTTGAGAAAGTCACGATTCTCTGCCAAGGGCTGTGAAACCTTTGAGGAAATAGATAATTCTGTTAAAGAGATTGGTCTGCATACAAAGTCACCAGGGATCTCTCCTCTTCCGTCATCAGAATGCAAAGGTGCAAAACAAACAGTGAAGAGAGACTCCAAAATCACCTCTCACTTCATGAGGATACCTAAAGTTGAGGAGAAAAGGTAGCCTTCTGTCTGTCCCTCATCTGGTTTTTCGTGCTTGAAAATTTCCTCTTGCATGAAAGCACTTTGTAGGCTGGATTGTATAAATAGTTTTGCAAAATGTATGTTAAGACACAAAGACAACTTTGTAAGCTTGAAGGAGCTTATTTCTCATTGGAACAACTAGTGGGTTTTTAAAGGATATGATTGTCCAGTGCAAGTTTTTAAATCATTGGAGAGCTGTTAAAATTGGGAATTGAAGACACTGTAGGAAGTTGATTTTCTATATCAAAGAAGTTATTTAAGACCATGGGATTTTTAATGCTTGAAAATGACTGATGATACAAGAGTGCTTTATGGCGTGCAGTTCCTTTTGGTCTCGTTAGACCAGGTCTACAGGAGATCACAGAGTGGCTTGGATCTTAACTAGCAAAGAAAGCAGCATATCAAACTGGTTTCAGTCCTTAGTAATGCTGTGCCAGAATTATCCCTGGGCTCTCTTGGACGAGCACGGTCGGCGTGTACCCAGTGTCATGCTGATCAACATTTGCTTGTGATTGGCCAGTTTGGAGGCACTGTCTACACCTAAAAGCCCTGGCTTATTGGTGTGTAGTTCCTTTTGGTCTCGTTAGACCAGGTCTACAGGAGATCACAGAGTGGCTTGGATCTTAACTAGCAAAGAAAGCAGCATATCAAACTGGTTTCAGTCCTTAGTAATGCTGTGCCAGAATTATCCCTGGGCTCTCTTGGACGAGCACGGTCGGCGTGTACCCAGTGTCATGCTGATGTGACTACAACATTTGCTTGTGTTTGGCCAGTTTGGAGGCACTGTCCACACCTAAAAGATCTGGCTTATGCATAGATGCAGTGAAAAGGTTGGCCAACATCTTTATCCAAGGGTGGAGAAAGTTTTGCCAAGGGGAATTTAAAGGTCTAAACAGTACCTCAAAGTGTAGGCTTTAACTTGTTTTGCATCTGACTCTGAGAACTTTTATCTTGCACAAGAGAATTCTGGTATGCTGCATCAAACGTGCAGCAGGTTCAGGTGTTACTTCCCCCAAATATCTCAGATCCATCCACATACCTTTGATCATTAGAGGGTTAGTTAATCTGCTCTTGCATATGTTTGAATTTTGCAAGCTTTTTTTTTAATTACTTTTAAGTTTCTACTTCTGTTGTAAGTATTGTATGCCTGGCATGAAAAAATACAACTCTAGTGAGAAAGGCTAGTTAAGTTTGGTGTGGTTTTTTTTTGTTTCTCCTTAGTTTGAAGAAGGGATATGTGCATCTGTGCATGCACTTGTTTTCTAAGGGTTGAGAAGGGGCTGTAGTGGGTATCCTGATAAATGCAGAGCCTGTCTCCTGTCCCAGGGTAAGCAGATCATTTTTGGAAGGTGCGTGTTTCTGCAGAGAACCCTGCCTTGCTAACATACTGCAGTGCTGTCAAGGTGTTTGTAAGCATGCAGAGGGGAGTGTCTTGTTAGACATCATGGACTTGCCTGTGTTGGGGAGGAGGAGGTTGTTGTTGATGGGGGTTTTCCCCAAATAAAGCTTTGGCCTGGGCCCAGAGCAAAGGCTGGCAAATAAACCGCGGCAGTTTGTGCGTTTGCCCCGCAGCTTTCTCACTGGAAATAAAACGTTTCTATGTGTTTTATTTTATCAGCAGAAAAGAAAAGTGTGAGTTCAAACCCCAGAGGCCAGGAAGGAAGATTCCTAAATACGTGCCACCTCCTCTTCCAGCTAACCAGAAGTGGTTTGGGACGCCGCTGGAAGAGCTGAGGAGAATGCCCGTGTGCGGGGCCCGGCTGCCCCAGCTGCGGCCCTCGGCCAGCCACACCGTCACCATCAGGGTAGGGAGCCCCTGCTGGACCTCACATCAGCTTTCTTCTCAGCTCTCAGTAGTGCAGAGTGCCAAATCTTAGTCCTGGCTCATTAGCAGCTCCTGGAAATCTTTCTTTGCTATTCCTTGTCAGCAGACTGGGGTAACTGTTCTTCCTGAAAATTGACTTTTCTGATGCGTTGAATTGGGATCTAAAGATTTGGAAGAAATGGGATTATGGGTTTACTGCCCCTGGCTTGTTAGGGACTAGTATTTTTGTTTTTGCCTAGCAAGGTGTGTGTGTGCTTCCTTGTCTGAGTTGTGAAGTGTGGGAATTCAAACACATCTGCAAGTAAAATTTGTACTTAAAGATTTTCATGTCGTATTTTCATTTTGGTATGGTTCTGTTTTGGGTTTAAGGTATACAAAAGGCTCAAGATAGTCAAAATATGAAAAAGACAATGTAGAGGAGTTTCTGGCAATTCTACCACTGTGTTTTAGATGGCATCTGATATATTTGTCTTTATTCATTTGGAGTAGTCAAATTGTTGTTGAAATAAAACGTAGGGCCAGAAACCTGTATGGTCACGGATCAGTTGCAAACAAAACAAAAGCACATGACTTAAAATGCAAGTTCTGAGAGACTCAGTGCTGCCAGAAGGCCATAGAGCAGATTAAATCTTTAAGAACATTGTGTTATTTTTTTACATTTCTGATAGTCTGTGGAGTAAACTCCAAATGTTGGTTCATAGAATCATAGAATCCTTTAGGTTGGAAGAGACCTCCAAGATCATCAAGTCCAACCATCATCTGTAATGATTTCTCTTCCTATTCATGTCATATTAAAAAATGTTATTTCTGCAGATGACTGTTGTTGGATTTGAAACTGCATTTTGAAAATATTTGGTTGAAACTATGTAGATAATTAAATTCATAAATGAAGATGTCTATAGCTGATAATTTGACCTAAAATTATTGCATGTATTACTTTTATTTCAGTGTGTTTCAAGAGATCAAAGGATAAGGTGGTGTTCTTTTCACCAAGTGTAATGTAAGAGTAACAGACTAATTGATGGATTTTTTTCTAACTTAATCTCCATCATGTGGTTGGTTTGTAACTTTACCCTTTCCAAAAAGAATGGCTGCAGATGAGAGCTTTCTTACAGTGTTCTTGTGTACTTTTTATTTCTTCCATTTAAAAGCTTGAAAGTAGAGTCTGAGCTTTTTTTCACCCTCTTTTTCTGTTTCAGGTGGATCTCAGATGAGAGCTTTCTTACAGTGTTCTTGCATACTTCTTATTTCTTCCATTTAAAAACTTGAAAGTAGAGTCTGAGCTTTTTTCTCCCCTCTTTCTCTGTTGCAGGTGGATCTTCTGAGGGAAGGAGAGGTGCCTAAACCTTTTCCAACTCACTACAAAGATTTCTGGGACAACAAACATGTTAAAATGCCCTGTTCAGAGCAAAATTTATACCCAGTAGAGGATGAGGTAAGATAAAGCATATACAGTTGTGTAATCAAAAGTTTGTTTACATAGAGATGAGTTTTCAGTTTATTGCATTTGCTTAGTTGGCAAATTGGAGTGTATGGAACTGGAAAGTCAAACAGATAAACATACCTAGTGTGAAAAGCTGGATTCTGGGTTGTGATGCCCCAGGCAGATATTTTTCTTCAGAAGAATTTTTTTTTCTCCCCTAGTAATTATTTTACCTTGCCATTGCTTTGATAGTGTACATATATCTGTACTTGTTATATATTTATATGTGGTGGCAGAGAGATGAAGAGCTGGCCCTGTGTGGTCTGTCCATCTCATATTTCTTCTCACTGCTTGAGACTTACTCTAACACACCCACTGAAATACTGTAGACTGATGAATAAAATGAGTGTGTCCTGGAGTGAAGACTGTGTAATGATCATGGAGACTTAAATCTGGAGCAGAGATTTTTTTATAGCCTCTAGGAAATACTCTGTCTTTTTATTTACCAATTTTACAGATACCCTATAAAATGAACGTTTCAGAGATAAGAGTGGTGATAAGATCTTTGTTGCCAGTTGAGCAAGATGAGTTGTCTCTGTCCTCATGGCAGTTTGATAAGAAATAATCATTATTGCTGTCAATGGGCAATAAGACCTTCTGTCAAGGAAAAATATCACTGGATGTCTTTAATTTGGGTTAGTGTGAGAGTCATCCACATCAATATGCTTTTATAATCTGTGCCTTTTTTTTTTTATAAAGTTGGTTCAGTTTATGTTTTTGAGTTGCAGATTTTATAAACAGTGGCCATGTTTTATCTGCAAAATGCACTTTCTTCAGGAGGAATGTGCTGAACATTAGTTGTCCTTGAGGTGCCATGAGGAAGAGCACTGCCTATGTTAAGAAGAGCTTTTTGTGAATTTTATGAATGCTTCAATTAAAAAGGAACTCTTAAGGAAGTTGGACTAGAAGCTGCAGAAGAGTAATTTACAATTACTCAAAATGGTTTGTTTATTTTTAAAGAACTTCATAAAAAAAGCAAACTTTGTCATCCTTCAGACACTTTTTTTTTAAAAAAAATAATGATTAGTAAATATGTCTTTCTGTTTTGAATAACTTATTCTGTATTTGTTTTGGTCTTTTGTTTTACAGAATGGAGACAGAACTGCTGGAAGTCGATGGGAACTTATCCAAACTGCCTTACTTAACAAATTTACTTGCTCACATGATTTGAAGGTAAGCTTGTCAATTTGAAATCAATCTGTGCACATATAAGTACATTCAGGCTCTGTGTGTACTGTTAGTGAGTCTTGCTGAGTTGTATTTGTTTAATCACTTATTTAAAACAAAACAAAACTCTGCTGTTCAAGGGATTCCCTAATGAATTAAGGGCCTTAATGAGTTAGTGTTACTAATGAAATTATTAGGTATTACTGAAACAGGTTGTCCATTACAAGTTCATGTGAAGCTGTGTTTATCCAGTGGTGTCTGCTGTGTGGTGGTAGGTGTAGCATGTAGGCTTTTTCTCTAAAAAATACACAGGTGAGAGAGTTTGGAACAGTGACTGTTCACACCAGTGAACTCCACAAAAATTGCAACAATTTAGGCTGCTGACAAATCTGTTAATTTTTGGAGACTAATACTCTTGATAATTCTTAAAGTTCTCATTGTCTTTTAATGAATTATGATTTGGAGCAGATTAGAATTGCTACTGTGTTTTTTGTAAAGAATAATGTATTTTGGATTCTACTTGAAAAGTAGAGGAAGGAGGATGATGTGAAAGGTGCAGATAAACTTTAAACAAATGGTGCTCCCATGGCAACTAACAGAACTTCCCTTGATAATACTATTTTATTTGGCATCATTTTCTGGAGAATTTTTTAAAGGTGGTGGTTGTTGTAAAGAGCCTGTTGAATTTTGTTGTGGTTCTGATTCTTTAAGTTTGTAAACCAAAGCTTGTTCAGTGCTGAAGTTAAAATACAGGATTCAGTATCATGGAGTCACAGGATACTAACATTTCTCTGGATTTTGGTAGGCTCTGTGACAGGTTTGAGCCACTAGATGGTACTGTTCCTTCAAAAAGGGGATCATAAAATCGTTTTTCTTCTGTTAATAGTATCTCTAAGCTTTATTTTGTTGTGCTTTTTCCCTAGGAGGCTATACTGAGATACAACGTTGCATATTCCAAGAAATGGGACTTCACTGCTCTTACTGACTTCTGTGAGAAGGTAAACCAAGTTGATTTGAAATAAGAAGAAGAGTAAAATGGAAGTGATTACTTTGTCCATATGTTTCAGTGCTTTTGGCTTTATTTCCCTTTTCAAGAGCAAAGGTTTTGCAATCATCATCTGTTTGGACAGTTATTTGGCTGATAACTTCATCTGAAATACTGAAATACAGTTGAGGTAATTATACTTTTTAAAATGAGTTCATCTTAAATCTCAGGCAGGTAATTTGGGTGCTTCAGTAACAACTAAGGTTACTGAAGGTAAGTTGAGAAATGCCTTTTTTTCTGTTTTATGATAACCAGATTTATTAATAAATAGTATTCATGTTTCTAGTATATTAGTTTCTTGTTTTTAAAAGTGTTGCTCTTTTTTTTCCCTTTTTTTAAACAAGTTGGGTGTTATATTACAATGGTGTTTGTGTAGACTGTGCTTTGCTGATCTAGCAGGAAACTGCTATATGCTGAGATGATGAATTTAAACTGTAGAGCCTTTGAAAGACTTGGTATTTTTTATAACTTCATGTTACCTTCCTGCAAGAGGATGGAGAAAAAAAATGAATAGTAGATGGCAAATGCAAGTTGGACAATTATTAATGTACATCCTGACTGATGTTCAGAAACTGTGATAGGTAAAACAGTATGGGAGATTAAATGAGATGCAAGAGAAATTGTACTTCTCTTCCACCCACTCAGAAGTGCTTTTAAAACATGTGTGCTTGGATTTTTTCGAGAGGGGATTGCTCTATTAAGGT